GTAGGGTAAATATGGAGCCAATAAACAAATTAATAAATACAATCGTTGAGATCCAGGTTACATTAAATTTACCTCAGTCTCATTGAAATCAGTTCCATAAATTAGTTATCATTACACAACAATGACCCCCAACCTTGCTGGAATTTCATTAAGGCTTTAAAAATTTGACTGTGTACTGACTCTGGGGCTCTGAATGTGCTAAGGGCCCCACTTTTGAGCTTTACTGTTAATTGGTTAATTATCTCAGCTGCCATATGTATATATTTATTTTGGATGTTTCTATTGTTTTTATAGTTTTAGACTTGTAAACCACCCACAGTCATTACCTGAGATGGGTAACTATAGAAATTGAATGAATGAATGGGTGAATGGATGGATGGATGAATGAATGAATGAATGAAATTAACAGTTTTTCCCAAAGCAGTGTTCTCCAGGTGTGTTAAGATTATAGCATCCAGAATTCCCAGCAGCTTGATTAATGAATTCTAAGAACTGTACTCCCAACACATCTGGAGGGCACCAGGCTGCTAAAAGATGGATTAAAATGTGGCTTAGTCTGGATTTCGGCTGGTTTGATCTATATACATACTTACCTAAAACATATGTTTCTGATCTTTGTTCAGGGTGTTTCTGCATTGCAGATGTGCTGATTTAATAACCATTCCCTTTCCCCAGGGAACTTTGAGAATGGTAGATATATGAGCATAGGGACCTTCAGAAGTTACATTGGAAGAAGCCATGGCAATTGTTAAGCAGTACATCTGAAGATTAATCTTGATATATTTTTTGGCTTCCATACCATTTCACCGATTCATGAACCATTTGTTCAGCTGTACTTTCATAATGTGTTTAGAATTTGTGAACAATGTGATGGAAGAAAAATACAGGCCAAGATTAGATGGCATAGACAAAAACAATCCAACTTGTTTACAGCAAAATCTTATGCATGTTTATTCAGAAATAAATCCAACTATGATACTTTAGACAAACATGCATAGAGTTGTAGCTTAAATACACTAACTGCTGTTGTTAAGCATTTTATTTAAAAGTAATTTGGATGTATCAGCTAGAATTATTTCCTAATATAGTCTTCAGCCAGTGAAATTTCTAAGTGACATTAGGGCACTCATGAACTTAATAAAAATAAATTAATAGATCTTCTGGACAATTCTAAATTATAGAATAAGTAGAATAGTCAGTTAAAAAGTTATAACAAGTGAATATATTGATTACTCTCTCTAACCTTGTATAAATTGAGTGCTTACAGTATGCATGCAGATTTTGTGTTGGTACAATATACTAAGAGAGTGAAGCTTGGCACCAATTTCAAACTAAACATTTTTTGAGCACACATAAAAAAAAAAGAAAAGCAAAATAGCTATATCATGATTATTACTCAAATATACTACAGTTCAAGCTTATATAATGACTTCCTGCAGTACAGTTGTGTTCCTGCTGCCTCTATGAACATATAGTTTACTTGGGAACAATAAGAAGTGTTTGCTTTGCTTTGCCTTTGACTTTTGGTAAGTAGAGGGATTTACAAAATGACACAAAAGTTATAATATTTGAAATATTCCAACAGAATTTTGAAGAATGGGGTCAGAAACTAGCAACTACAATGTCAGCAGTTATGTCTGCTTCTGTGGATATATTATGTCCAAAAGATGTTATTAAAAGATTGACAGATGTGAAACAATTTTTTTCTGATTTATAAATATTAGAACCAGAAATACTGGATAATTTTAAAAAGTATGTATTATAAGAAAGAGAAGGCAACTAATGTGGAAACATAAATGACAAGTCAAGAGATCTTTCTACTGCATATAAAAAAGAAGTTAATTAAAGCTTTTTAAAAAATAAAGTGGAAATACAATTGATAAATCAAGAAAATGACCCACATAATGATTTTTTATTGAATTTACAAAAGAGCTTTACTAAAGCTTCAAAGGGAAAAGAAAAATTGAAAAGAGACTAAAAATCTTACATCTGAATGATTGAAGGATCAAGATTGTTAGATGTTAACAGGAAAGAATATAAAGTTGGTTCGTTTGATCAAGGTTAAAATATGACATGTTTCTTTAAAATTCTTGCAACCATTTATGGACTTTTTGTTGGCACCATTTTTTTTGTATATAGATAAAGGAGGAGTTGTGGGAAGAAGAGATATTTATTTTTAATCTTCTAGGGAGTGAAGAGTTACTAAGTTTGTGATGAAGATCAGAAATAACTTCTTTATATTTTTTAATATTTATCTTACCTTTTTTTGCCTTTCATAGCACTTTTTTCTATCTTTCTTTCTCTGAGTTTTATTTGTATTTTACTACTGTAATCAAAATCTTTAATAAAATATATATATTTTTAAAAAGTGGTTGTCGTTGTCTTGTTCTGGGAATTTTTACAATTTCCTAAACTAGCTTACTGCTCTAGAATTATCTTGCAACCTTCCATCCAAATACTAACCAGGTCCAAAACTGCTTAACTTCTCAAAATCAGCCAGTCAGCTACATATTGCCACTTGTAGGCACTACGTAGAAAATCACATGGCCACAGAATATATTCAAATGTTCAATTAAACAATATCCCACTTGCTACACTGTTTGATAATTATGAATCTGCTCTCTCACAAACTTCTTTCAAAACTATTCATTGTCATACAATCCAAGCACATTTCTGAACAAAAGTAGAATTTCTTCCAGTACCTTTCTCATTCAGTTCTGGCAACAAAGGATTATGATTTTAGCATTTTGCGCAAACATTGATTAATTTTCTTCTCAACCCTTAAAGATTTCTTAGATTTTTTTTTCTAGAACAGTGCATTCAGGATTTTTGGTCTAAGCAACGTTTCTCACTCTACATTTGTGGTCTGCCATTGACTATCAAAGCCTAAACTTGAACAATAAGGAACCTGATTCTGAAACCAGCTCTTCATTTTCAATTCTAGGTGTGAAAGATATGAAAATGGTAGCATGGGGGGGGGGGAGAAGAATCCTTTGTTCTTTTTGTTGATATTCAGCACACACAAATGGTTGGAATTTATTCTTTCAGTAGAAACACTTCACAGTGGGATTTCTCTAGTTCACTCCTCACCCCCACCCTGAAAATGCATCAAAGGATATCTGGAGTTCTGCTCATGAAAGCCCTTGGCTAAGGGACTAAGACATGAAATGATTGTAGTGTACTATTCCTTCCATCATCCATTGCACTGAAGAATTTAAAAATATAAACATGGTCTCCACATGGTAAACTGGCATCTCTAAATCAAGGCAAGACTGCATAGTAATTTTGTGAGTCATCTTTGACTATCCCTATAATACAAAGACAAAGCTGCTTGTGACAAGAACATGGTGAGCCAAATGTTTGTGGATGTTACTATGAAGATCAGGTTGAATTCGATTAGATTAGATTAGATTATCTTTATTGTCATTTTTTCTTATGGGCACAATGGCACACATTAAAAAACTGAAATTTAGTTGCTTCCTCTCAAAGTGTACACATACATAACACACATTTAAAACATGCTATATACAACATATGTATGGACCTACACCCTTACATATAAGTAACATATAAATATTAATCACTATCCATCTTGAATACATAACGGAAGGAGGAAGCTTTAGAGTTCACAAGGTTAATACTGTATGGAACAAAACTATGACCAAATCTGGATGTTCTGCTTCGGATACCACAGAGCCTCCTCCCAGAAGGTAACAAGGAAAACAGATTGTGAAGAGGATGTGTAGTGTCCCAGACAATCTTGCGGACCCTGCTCAAGCAACGTTTATGTGTTATGTCCTGGATGGGAGGGAGGGAACTGCAATGATCTTTTCAGCTATCCTCACCACTCTCTGCACTGCCTTCCTGTCTGACAAGACAAGAGTCTTCTATGTACTCTTTCATCAAGGTGTGCTTAGGCAATTTAAGGGTTTTCTAAGCCAGGAACTAAGATTGGTCTTCTTGGGTACCAGCTAACATTCATTCCCTCGTAGGGGACCTATAGCCTGGTTTATTGCTCCTCCCCCTCAAATAGGGCTGGCATATTTGGAGTGCAACCTCCAGAGGTCGAGAGATACTGGAGTTTTCTGTGTCTCTTTGCTGGCTTTTAGCATGGATTATTCCAGCCCAGGTATAGTAGGCTTACCTTCCCATTCACCTGACCTTCTAAGCAAACAGGAAGAGAAGAAAAAAAAAGAAATGCTGCAGAAACACATAGTGCTATCTCAGGTGTCAAACTGATCCAGAAGTAGAGCCAAGCAAAACAGCAGCGTCAAGGAAGAGGATTACTCTCAGCATCCTGTCTAAACTGCCCTTAACTCCCCTTCTGAAAAAAAAATCTAAGAGCCATAATAATGATCAACACACAAACTACCAACCAATCCACAAAGCTTTCTTTCCCTTAGCTAAATCCTATATGTATTGTTTAAACTCATCAATGTTATTATAGGTGCCTTCTCAGGTATTGCCCCCCCCCCGCCCGCCAAAGCAGTGAGATGTGCCAGGTGTCTTCTTTGTCTTTTCAACACCAAGCCAAGTTGATTTTATTCTCCCAGGCCCTTTATGACAGTAACATGTTAATATTTTTTACACAGCAACTTTTAAAATAATATTTCTGCTGTTAGGTTTTTATCAAATGCATATTATGTTTTTAGTAATTGTTTTAGATGTCTAAGATGGCAGCAACAGAGAAAGTATGGTCACATTGCGGGAGAAAAGTTGCTATTAAATTAAGACAAAATGGGAGAAGGAGAAGGAGAGGTTCAAAGACTGGAGAAGGGAAAAGGAGAGGAAGGATTCAAGAAATTAGGAGGAAGACACCAACAAGGGCAGCAGCCTATGGCAAACTTGCCTGCTGAGAAAGGCTCAGCTGCACCCGAGAGGCCTACCAAAGGGACCGGAGGTCCATTGAAGAGGAACTGGAGCGCCCCTCCATCCCACACAGTGGTCGCACAGGATCATAAATGGGTTGTTGGAGGACTTCTAGGCTAACGGAGGCCTACCTGAAAGGTCCTATGGCCCAGCGACCCAACCGGCCCAATGAAGCAGAGACCAGCGTAGCAAACCAGGCAACAGGGTGCGCCGGCAGCTCGAACAGTAGAGAGGAGGCGACTGGCAGCAGTGCGAAGCAGTGAACCAGTGAGGTGGCTGGGGGCAGCACAGAGGAGGTGGCCGGTGGCAGCACAAAGCAGCGGACCAGTGAGGTGGCTGGGGGGCAGGGCAGAGGAAATGGCCAGCGGCAGCGGCGAACCAGAAGGCCTGCAGGTGGCAACAAGGCAGTGGTGGACCGAGAGTCCTGCCGGCAGTGACAAGGCAGCATGACAGAGGTGGCAGAGCAGCGGAAGACCAGACCGGCAGCTCGAAAGAACCTGGCTGAATGTCGAAGATGAAGCAACAGCTGAAGGCAACTGAGGGAAACTAGAAAGACCGGCTGAGCACAGAAAGGCAGTCAAAAAAGCAAGGCAGAGAGGATAGTGTTGAGTCCTCAGCGAAAGGCAATAACTTCATGAGTCATTTGGTAGTTCTCAGGAGCCTCTTTATTGGTGTTCAGCAGCCCTGTTACAACGCCGAGGCACACAAGCCTCTCACCTTCTCTTAAAGACAATGCCCGGGCCAAACGGCAACATTTGGCACGCTTTGCACTTCACGCATGTGTGCGAGTGCTGGCGCCAGCCAGTCTGGTCCCGGGCAGCTTGCAACTGCCCGGGACTGTTGCAACGTCCCGAGCCTGCCTTTGCAGGCTCAGGACACAACACCCCTTCCCCCCCCGGCTAAAACTACAACTACATGAATAGTTACACGCGACCTCAACACAAGCGTGGGAGACACACTAGCTCCATGGTACCAAGCTGTAATGTTTTGGCTTCATTTCCCATTGTTCCTTATTCCAACCTTTCACAGGAACACCCTCTTACTGTTTCTGCTTTGCCAGCAGAGTTACAAAATCTTCAAGATATTTAGGAGGTCTTTTAGCTCTCTGTGACCTCCGAATTCCCTGGCAACCTCCAAGCACATCTTGTCCAGGGGGTGCTGTGTGTTTGCCCCCTTCCTTTGACCCTGGTGGTCCCCATGGACCGTGCCCCGTTGCCTGGCCGGCTTGCTTGCCCACCGGGCTCGTCAGGCCAGGACTTTGTTCTCTCCATAACCTGGTTGACCTGCCTAGTTGCAGGCTCTCTGGCCCTTCTAGAGGGCTGCCACTGTTGGACAACTCTGTAGAGCCTCCCAGGTCTGCCCTAGACCTATCATGAGGCTGCCTTCCTCCACTTCCCAGTTCCATAGTAGGGCTGTCTGGAATGTCAGTACTGTCCCAAAACTCAGTTGCCCCCTCTGTTATGCCGGAGGTGTCAGAATCGGGATTCGGCCTTCCGACCACCTCCCTATGTAAATGCCCCTTTCTGGGAACAGTGGCAGTGTTGGGCCAACTAGACGGAGTGTGTGCCAGCTCTCTTGCAAGGTGTGAGTTATTAGGATGCTCCCGGTTATTCTCCCTGACTGGAGTGCTGAATGGTGTTGGTGTGTAAGGATTATGCCCCCGGGGTAACTCCCTGGCTGGAGTCGGCACTGGTGCCTGTGTTCTAGCTGGTTCCCACGAATTCCTGTTCGGAGCACTCGTGGAATCTTGGAATCGGCCGTCTGTGGCCTCTCTGTTGGTGTCTGGCTGCTGCCCACACCCTTCCCTTTGCCGTAGAGGTCCCCCTCCCCCCCTGGAAAAGACCCAAGAGTCTCAGCAGGTGAGTCCAGTCTCGTACGCAGCTGGTCGATATGCCGTTGCAGGATACGACCGTCATCCAGGGAAACCTCGTAAGACAAGGGACCTGTAACCTTGCATACTATGGCAGGGAGCCATAAGTGACCTGGCCCGTAATTACAGGTCCATACTGGGGCACCCACTAGCAATTGCCTTGGGGCCCTGGATTATGTAAACTTAGAAGGCAGTCTGTCCGGATGCAACTGGTCAAGCTTAGTAGTCAGTTTGCGCCCCCAGCGAAGTTCAGCCGGGCTCTTCCCAGTAGAATTAGATGGTGTGGTGCGGTAAGCAAGTAGAAAATCTGCCAACCTGTGATGCCAGTCCCCATAGGTCAGTTTCTTTAAAGCATCCTTGGTGATGCGGACCATCCGTTCAGCCATACCATTGGTGGAAGGGTGAAAAGGTGCGGAGGTGGCATGACGAATCATGTTGGCCTGTAAGAAAGCTTGGAATTCAGAAGAAGTGAATTGGGGGCCATTGTCAGACACCAAAACATCCGGAAGCCCATGTGCAGCAAAAATCCCCCTCAGTACTTGAATAGTCTTTGCAGTGGTGGTGGAAGAGACAGGTACAACCTCAAGCCATTTTGAATGGCTATCAACCAGGACCAAGAAGAATTGACCCCGAAAAGGCCCAGCGTAATCGATGTGCACCCTAGACCAAGGAGACTGTGTTTCCTCCCATCTATGCACAGGAGCCTGTGGCATTTCTGGGCGTGAGCGCTGAGAAAGGTGGCATGCGTGCACCTTAGCTTCAATTTCCTTGTCTAACCCAGGCCACCACAAATGGCTGCGCGCAAGCGCCTTCATGCGTACAATGCCAGGATGACCCTCGTGAAGGGAACCTAAGACTCTAGACCTCATTGAGGTAGGAATGACAACTCTGCTGCCCCACAGCAGACAACCCTGGAAAGTGGATAAGTCGTTCCTCTTAAGCCAGAAACTCTGAAACTCAGCGCTTGGACAACTCTCTGGCCATCCAGACACAACCCAAGATAAGACACGAGAGAGTGTGAGATCTGTGGCAGATTCAGCAGCCACATCCCTGGCATTTAATGGTGACTCAGGCAATGCCTGAATTGAAAGAATGTTGATGGCAGGGGCAGGATCAGCCTCTACTACTTGCAGGGGTAATCTACTGAGGCCATCAGCATGGCCCATTTCTTTCCCAGGTTTGTGAATTAGAGAAAAATCATAGGCTGACAGAAAGATTGACCATCTCAGCATTCTGGGGGAGATGATATGGGGAGTTTGTTTGTTTGTGGTAAACAGCCCCAACAAAGGCTTATGGTCAGTAAAGATCGTGAAATGTCTGCCATACAAAAAATCATGGAATTTTTTAATTCCAGCAACAACAGCTAAAGCCTCCCTGTCTATCTGGGCGTAGTTTCGCTCAGCAGAAGACAAGGTTCTGGAGTAATATGCAACAGGAACCTGAGTTCCATCCGGCCTAAGGTGGCTGAGAACTGCTCCCACCCCATACGGAGAAGCATCACAAGCGACGCACACAGGAAGAGTTTCATTAAAATGTGCAAGCACATTGTTAAATGTGAGTAAGGCCTTAACCTCATTGAAGCTTGCTTCATGTGTTTGCGACCACTGCCACACTGCCTGTTTATCCAGAAGCCTTTAAAGTGGTTCAGCTACATTAGCCTTGTTAGGAATGAATGAATTATAGAAATTCAAAAGGCCCAGAAAAGCCTGTAGTTCGGCCTTGGACTTAGGCCTAGGAGCATGCATGATGGCCTTTAATTTGGACTCAGCAGGATGAATCCCACTGGCATCAATTTTGAATCTCAGAAAATCTGTAGAAGGCACCCCAATTTTACATTTGTCCTTCTTGAGTTTGAGGCCCGTTTTCCGGAACCGCAGCAGGACAGCCCTCAATCTCTCAGCTAAATTTTGGGTGGAGTCTCCAGCAATTAAGACATCATCAAAATAGGGGCAAACCCCTGGTATATCCCTCAGTGTGTTTTCCATTATGCTTTGGAAAATTCCAGGAGCCACATTTACTCCAAATTGTAATCTCTTTACTTTGAATGCCCCCCTGTGGGTTACAATGGTTTGTGCTACTGCAGCAGCTTCATCAACAGGCAGCTGTTGATAAGCCTGAGCTAGGTCAAGCTTTGCAAAAACACGCCCCCCCCCCTTGAAGGAGGCCAGGATATGACTGACTACAGGTACAGGATAGGCATGTTGCTGCAATGCCTTATTCAGAGTGCATTTGTAATCTGCACAGATGCGAATGTCCCCATTAGCCTTAAGAGGTGTGACTATGGGGGTCTCCCAATGACTGGAATCAACAGGTTCTAAAACTCCTTGCTGAATCAATTTGTCCAATTCAATATCAATTTTCCCTTTTAAAGCAAAAGGAACCCTTCTTGCTTTTACTCTGACAGGAGTGACAGTGGGGTCTAGTTTTAAGGACACAGGGGGCCCTTTGTATGTGCCCAGCTGTGGGCTGAAAACATCTGCAAATTCTTTGCAGACTTCCTGTAGATCTACTGTTTGCAAGCTATTGAGCTCTGTAACATGTATTCCCAAGGCCTCAAACCAATCGAGTCCTATGAGACTCGTTCGCTCACCCCCTACTATCAATACATCTAATGGGCCTTCAAAATCCTTATACTGTACATTAAGGGTGGCCTCCCCCTTAACACACACTCTGGAGTTTTGAAAGTCTGTTAACACAATGTCAGAAGGCCTAAGCTTGGCCTGAAATCCACTACCAGAACAAATCTTTCTGAATGTGTGTATGGAAATGATTGAAAGTGCAGACCCAGTGACCAGTTCCATGACCAATGGAACTCCTTGCAACTTCACCTTAAGTGACAGTTTTTTCTTGATAGGTTTGTGTATGCCTGTCCTATAAATGCTTCTTCGTGAAGCACAGAAACCCACCCTGTTTTGGCTGGGGACCCTGGTACCTTTCAGGCGCAATTCTTCTCAGGGTTGTACCTTCTGACGGCCCAGACACACAGCTGCAATGTGGCCTTGCTTTCCACATGCTCTACAGATAACAGAGCGAAACCTGCAGTCGGTCCTCTTGTGGCGACCTCCACACCCGAAGCACTTGGGGACAGCTGAAGACTTTTCTTTGCCTTCCTTCTGCTTCCCTTCTTTTGTTGGGTAGAGACGGTCTACTTCTTCATCAGGATCCTCTTCTGAGCTCCCTTGGACTTCCTCCTGGTGCATGGACACAGCTTCTGGAGTACTTCTGATAGGCCTCATATTCTTGATTGCCCCACCTGCTGCCTCTTCTGCAGTAACCTCTCTCAAGGCATCTTGGAATGATAAGTCTTCCTTGGCAAAAAGTCTCTGCTGCAAGTCTCTGTGTCTCACTCCACATACAAATCTGTCTCTCAGCCTTTCTTCTAAGTCTTTAAACTCGCAAGGCTTAGCTGCTCTTCTCAATGCAGCAATGAACTCTTTAACTGATTCACCAGCCCGTTGATCCCTCTGTTCAAAAGTATGGCGCCAAGCAATGACAGACAACTTGGGCTGGAAATGTTCCTTTAGCAATTTCTTTAAGTCTGTGTAGGTAACAGATTCTAGAGGTGCAGGTGCTGCTAGATTTTCAGCGATCTCAAATGCATCTTGACCACAAACACACAGCAGGGTGGCAGCTTTTAAGCCATCTTCTCTCACTTGATTGACCTTGAGATAGTTTTCTACTCTGGCCACATAAGACTCCCATCTTTCCGGATG